GCCCGGGGAAGACAGCGCCGTACGCCCTGCCCATGCTGCAGTTGCTGCTTCACGGGAAGACGGTGGGTAGTGGGGGTGCGGGGAGGGCGGGTCCCGGGCGGTGGGCCTGGGACAACCTGGGGATGTTGTGGCGGGCGCACTAGACTGGGTTCAAGTTATTGGGCCCTGGTCCAGGCTCTGCCATCGCCAACCTTTGTGTAGTCTTGATTAAGCCATGCTCTCTTCTGTAAAAAACGGCGCACTGCATCTACTTTTTGCTTAGAAAGTTAACGTTAGAGCTCAGTTCTACAGCTAAAGGGAGTCAAGTAGCTTTAGAACCAGAGAATATGTTACTCTTTTTGAGGGTTGGTGTCTTGGGAAACAGCTTTCCACTCCGCATTCCGAGGTGGTGGAGAGTGAGGGGTTGACTCAACACAGATGAACTACAGCTCAGGGATTGTCTTGCAGTAGATGGGAAGAGTTGCCTGGAAGACTGAAAAGCCTCAGCACACACAGTGATAAGAGCCACTGGCGGAAGCCTCAGTTTGTATTCTTGTAGACAGGTCCTGTGGTAGAACAGGCTGTGAGAGGCCTTGTTCTCGTGCCTACCAAGGAGCTGGCTCGGCAAGCCCAGTCCATGATCCAGCAGCTGGCTACCTACTGTGCTCGGGACATCCGTGTGGCCAACGTCTCAGCTGCTGAAGATGCAGCTTCACAGAGGTGGGTGAAAACAGCAGGGCTGAGGGGAATGAAGTTATGCAGAGATGTGGATTGAGTTTTTATGAAGGAGAAGCACCTCCAGAACTAGGACCCTGCTGTTTCATTCTCCCTGATATTGTCCTGCCTGTTGCAGAGCTGTACTGATGGAGAAGCCAGACATCGTGGTGGGTACTCCATCCCGCATATTAAGCCACTTGCAGCGAGACAGTTTGAAACTACGTGACTCCATGGAGCTACTGGTGGTGGATGAGGCTGATCTTCTTTTTTCCTTTGGCTTTGAGGAAGAACTCAAGAGTCTCCTCTGGTAAGGAAGAGATAGGGTGGCTCTTGGTGGAAACACCTATGAGTAAAAGCTTGGACTTAGAGCTGGGTGACTACAAACTTAGCCTCTGTAGTTAGAGGCTCTTGAAGCTGGAGTCTGACCTGGCTGTTTTGTTTCAGTCACTTGCCCCGGATCTACCAGGCTTTTCTCATGTCGGCTACTTTTAATGAGGATGTTCAGGCACTCAAGGAGCTGGTGCTACATAATCCGGTGAGGGATGCTACCAGAGCATCTTTAACTGTGGGCGTGGGGAGAAACAGGTGTGTTTCTGGTGGGAGGTTAGTTCTAAGGTGCTAAAAGTCACTTTGTTTTCAGACGTCCCCAGGAAGTGTGTTTCCCAGTTCAAACTGTGCTCTGCATAAAAGCAGAAGCAGAGACACCCCTCCCCAAGGGCTGAGTAATTTTTGGTTTGGTTTGGTTTGGTTTTCTTTTTCTTTTCTTTTTTTCTTTTTGCAATAGAATGCACACATGCACATATTAGAGAGAGAGAGAGAGAGCAAGATGAACATTCTTCACATTGTCTGGTCACTCCACAATCTCCTTTTTCTCGTCTTCCAGTTCATCAGATAGGCACACATGCAGCTGCTGGTGTGTTTCAGGCTGACTGGGCCAGGGATTTGGACTACAATCACCATGTGGGATATAGTTTCTCTCAAGCAGTATGTTAACTGCTGCACTATGGTATCAATCCCTGCACCAGGGACTATTTTAATTGACACTACCAAAATTCTAAGGCCAAAGTTTTTACCTTATGTCAGTTTTGCCCTTGAACAGACCTGTTGCTGTAGGCCCTCCCTTACCAATAATTTTTTTTTTTAAGGTTTTTGACGTAGGGTACATGTACTTGCCAGAAAGAGATTGAAAGGAAAAGTGAGAAGTCACTCCCCAGGGAAGATGGCCACACTGCAGTCCTTCATCTTCCAGTCTTCTCTCAGGATTTTGGGCATGCACACATACGTGCCTGGGTCCAGGACTCAAAGCATGGTCATCCATGTTGGAGTCCAGCTTCTTCACCATGCCATCTGCTGGTCTCAGTATAATAATTCATAGGTATATTTTCATTTGTTCTGTTCCTGAGGCACTTTATAGTTTATATTTGTCATATACTACAGTAGTTACAATACTTTGAATTCTTAAGTTACAAAACTCTACAGTGCTCAGAATCCTTAAAGGCATCTCTGCCCTGCAGTAAAATGTTGTTGCTTTTGTTAGTGAACCCTTATGGCTATAGCATCTCTGTCTTCTCTTTCTTCCCTGACCGTAGGCCTGTCCTCTCCCCAGGTTACCCTCAAGTTACAGGAATCCCAGCTGCCAGGGCCAGACCAATTACAGCAGTTTCAGGTGATCTGTGAAACTGAGGAGGACAAATTACTGCTGCTCTTTTTTTTTCTGCTGCTCTATGCCCTGCTTAAACTGTCCTTGGTTCGGGGCAAGTCCTTGCTCTTCGTCAATACTCTGGAGCGGAGCTACCGGCTACGCCTGTTCCTGGAGCAGTTCAGCATCCCCTCCTGCGTGCTCAATGGAGAGCTCCCACTGCGCTCCAGGTTTGCATAGCCAGCTTCTTGGTACAGCGATTGAGATAAGTTGCCGATTGGGATTGAGAGGGGATGCAGCTGATGTCCTGTCTCTTAAGCATTTGGAAGGGGCTAGGCTCTGGACTTGACTGAGTTATTTCTCAGAGCTCTGAAATGCTGGCTGTTATTCTGTTATTAGCTGAGAAAGTTGAGGCACAAGGACTAAGGAGAGAAGGAGATTAAAGGGGAGGATCAAGTGGGAAAGGGTGCTGATCATGATGGCGCTCAGCAGTGAGAGTACCCAGAGCTTACTCTGCCCGGCTGACACTACTGCACTTTGCGGTCACAGGTGCCACATCATCTCTCAGTTCAATCAAGGCTTCTACGACTGTGTCATAGCCACTGATGCTGAAGTCCTGGGAGCTCCAGTCAAGGGCAAGCGACAGGGCCGAGGCCCCAAAGCAAACAAGTGAGTCCATGTTCCAGGTTTCTTTCTTTCCACAGAAGCCTGTTCTTTTTCTTTCTTTTTTTTTTTTTTTTTCTTTCGCTGTAGGGCTCGTGTGCTCCCTGGAGAGACAGAGACAGACAGAAAGGAAGTGAGAAATCACCCCCCCCCAGGGGGATGGCCACACTGCAGTCCCTTCTCCTCCATTCTCTTCTTTGGACCTTGGGCATGTTCGCACACACACACCTGGCGTGAGTTTTAAGCCTCCAGGTCCGGGACTTGAACCACAGCTAACTACATGGGAGCCTAGTGATATAATCATTATACCATCTGCTGGTCAGAAGCCTGTTCTTCAGGTGTTAAAAAACCAAGCCAAGGGACCAGCAGTTGGCGTAATGGCTATGTTGCTGGACTCCCATGTAGTCAACCGTGGTTTGACTCCTAGACCTAGTAGCTAAGCTCACGCTGGAGAGGAGAATGGAGGAGACGGGATTGCAGCATGGCCATCCCCCCTGGGGAGTGATTTTAGCTTTCTGCCTCTCAGTCTTTTCTGGGTGAGTGCATGTGTCCTATAGCAAAACCCCCCGAAAAACAAAAAAAAACAAAAAATGATCTGCAGGGGCCCAAGTTTAGACCTAGCTAGTAACATCATCCAGAGAGCCTCAAGGCTCCTCCTCAGTTGCCTGGGTACAGAGAAGGGAGTGAAGGTGCAGGCTGCACCAGCAACTTGGAGAGCAAGACGTGCCTGGGTTGTTGGTATGCACCATTCCTGCAGGAGATGCTCTGCCTGTTGTCTGGGGTGAGGTGGGGATAAATGTGAGGGGAAAGGGAAGTTAGCCCCTTGCCCTTTGTCTGAGCCTCTAAAAAGTTGACTGGCCTAGGAGTGGTTCTCAGCTTGTCCCATCGGGCAGCAGGTTCTGCTTTTGCCCCAGAGCTGAGGTCAGGGTGAGAGTTGGCCATAGTCAATGCTGTAGGCTGTGCTGAGAGAGCCCAGCCCCTGGAACACTGCTGGCAGTGGAGAATCTTTCCCACCTGAGTCCCAGACTTTATTCAGAAGAAGTTCTGCTGACTGAGCCTTAAGCATACCTGATTATAGGGAAGGGAAGATCTGACTGACTTTGGTCATCTCTGCAGAGCCTCTGACCCTGAGGCAGGTGTGGCCCGGGGCATCGACTTCCACCATGTATCTGCCGTGCTCAACTTTGACCTTCCCCCTACCCCTGAGGCCTACATCCACCGAGCTGGCAGGTAGGAGAGCTGGGAGTGTGGTGGACCAGCATGTGGACAGGGGCACAATGGAGGACTTAGGCAGGCAATGCAGCCTCTAGGCCAGGTATGCAGACTAGGCTGTCTCCTCTGCAGGACTGCACGTGCCAACAACCCAGGCACAGTTTTGACCTTCGTGCTGCCTGTGGAGCGGCCCCACTTGAACAAGATTGAGGAGCTTCTCGGTGGAGGTATAAGCCCCGTCCTAGGCTTCGCTCCCTCTGTTTTAGTGTGGACAGTAGTAACAGTTGAGTGATAGGCAGCTTCTGATGTCCATCTTGGTCCTGAAGGTGTGGCAGGCCACACATCCCCTAAAGAGGAGCAAACAGTTACGTTTTGTCCAGTACTGCGTTGCCATTTGTCTCAGGAATGTTGACTAACCTGACCTTGAGATGCTTGGTGCCCTTGAATACTCCCTGGCCAGAGCAACCTCAGGAGAGGAGGGAGAATAGGCAATGGGTCCAGGGCTCAGCGTGCACAGACCATGCTGTCCACGTGCAGGGATGGTGGCTTGCCCTGTCCAGCGTGTTGCAGACTATTCTCAGACCAGGCACTACCAAACTGCTTGTTCAGTGTCCCAGGGAAGCTCTTGGTCCCCTACTGCCTCACTCCAGGACAGATATGCAGGGGCTGCAAGCAAAAGCCTCCTTCTTAAGCCTTAACCTGCAGGAGCCTCACTGCTGCCTTCTCCACAGAGAACAGGGCCCCAGTCCTGCTTCCATACCAGTTCCGGATGGAGGAGATTGAAGGCTTTCGTTATCGCTGTAGGGTGAGCTATGCACTGGGCGGGCAGAGGGCCACAGGCTGGGGCAGTAACCAGGGGTTGCACCCTGTTATTTAGTGTCTGGGCACAATGGGTTTGGGACAACTTTGTGGTCTTGACCTTGGTTTTCACCCCTAGGATGCTATGCGCTCTGTAACTAAACAGGCCATTAGGGAGGCCCGACTGAAGGAGATCAAGGAGGAGCTACTACACTCAGAGAAGCTCAAGGTAAGGGCAGGGGAGGGGAGGGGTAAAGCTCGGAGGTGTCTTTCAAGAGTGGTAAGAGGCAGGGACAAGGACAGGCTAAGCACTGCCATGACAGCCAGCCCTCTCAGCTGGGAGGCCAACTGCACAGCCTCATAGCAAGCTCTCCATGTACAGCAGAATTGCAGGTTCATGGCCATTCAGTCTAGAAGTTCTGGCTCTGAATGCAGGCTCTTGGCCTCTTGGGTGTATGTAGTCATGGATGTGCCCACATCATCTCAGTATTGCTATAGAGCTGTGGGGATAGCCCAAGTCCACTGGAGGGGGCTCACTGGAGGGGGCTCAGCTCATCCCACACCACAGGCATGCAGCTGGAGGTTAAGGGCTGCCATGTCTGAGAGTGGGAAGATGTGGTTTCTACCGTTCATAGCACAGAGGTGGTTGAGCATAGGCCTGTGATGGCATCCTAGTGGGTGTGTGCAGGCGCAGGAAAACACAACATGAGCTCAGGAGTTATCTCTGGGCAGGAGGGTGGTAGGCAGAGGTGGGAGGAAAGCTTTGCACAGTGCGACCTCTGGTGCCTTTAAGTTCCTAAACATGGGAGGGTTTTGTCCTTTGAAACTCTTCATCTGCCTAATCGCAAAGGGAGATGCTGATGTAGTGCTTGCTTCCACCAGACATACTTTGAAGACAACCCCAGAGACCTGCAGCTGCTGCGGCACGACCTGCCTTTGCATCCCGCAGTGGTAAAGCCCCACCTGGGCCATGTCCCCGAGTACCTGGGTAAGCACTGCTTCATTGGCCCCAGCTCCATGCTGGAGTGCATGGGCGGAGTGGGATGCCAGTGACCTCATACATTCAGACATGTCTGCGTCTCCTGGGTAGCTGTCATTGGTTGCCTCGGAAGTGTGGACTGAGGCAGTGCAGAGTTTGTGGCAGGCCCAAGAGCTAAGGCCAAGGCCAGGCAGTCTCCACTGAGCAGCCAGGCAGCTCTGCACATGTGGGTCAAAGGAGAAGAGAGAGACGTGAAGGGGGGCTGGGGGCAGTAGGTGTGGGTACCTCCCAGGGTGGACTGTAGCCAGCTAGGTGACTGGAGCCTGACATGTAGCACAAGGGGTCAGGAATGGTCCATGTGAAGGGAAGGGAGGCCCCCCAGAGATGGGACTGTGGAATGCAGAAGGGTGGACCAAGCTCTGATGGCAGTGGGGATGGCCTGACCCTTGGCCAGGCTGGACTGTGACTAGGGCACCTATTCTTCCCTGTCACATATGGGTAGAGTCACCCACCAAGGCTGTGGCCAGGAGGTCTGGCAGGCCCCTGGAGCTGGTGAGGGGTGGGCCAGGTGGAGCCCCAATGAGGGGATGCTCCAGGCCTGTGTGTGGTTCCACTGCGATTTCTTTAGAGATACACATCTTGAATTCCTTTCCTTTGTTGTGTGTCTGTCATGTGGGCCTCATGTGGGCCTGCATGTGCAGAAGGCTGACTGAAGAGTGTTGTCAGTGAGCTGACATCCTTTCCTTGTGGCCTTGTGTGGGAGCTGTCAGCTGGATCAGAGTTGAATTTGCTTTGGAGTCAGCAGGAGGGCAGGTGGGATAGACAGTTCTGAGAAAGGCTTGTCTGGACAGCCTGAACCGTGGGGCAGGCTGGATTGGGCTCCCCAGCTCCTGGGAACTGCCTCTTGCTGGCTTGCTCCTTAACCACAGAATAAAGGGTCTATCTGCCTGGTTTTGTGCTTTGGTGGCATGAGGGGCTTTGGAGACCAGAACTGTAGGGGCAAGACCACCGCTAAGGCAAAGCATTTCTCTCAGTTCCTCCTGCTCTTCGTGGCCTTGTGCGCCCTCACAAGAAGCGGAAAAAGCCATCCTCCTGTAGGAAGACCAAGGTACGTCCTGGGGCCTTGGAGACAGCTGTAGCTCTCCCCTCCGCCACTACCTTGCTCTTTACCAGGATTTGCAGGCACCCTGGCTCAAGACACAGGGACAGGAGACAGGATGCCCAAGAACTGGACCCAGAAGATCTGGCATCATGGATGGGATGGTGTGGGCTGGAAATGCTCCCAAGACAATCTGAGGTCTCCTTAGCTCTTGGCCTCCAGTGGCCTTGCCAGATGCTAGCACAACCTGCTCTGTCTGGCTCAGTTAAGATGGGTGGGTCAACGGGTGGTTGACTGGTCTGTCTGATCCCCACCTAATGCATGACTTTTCCTCCTTAGAAGGTGAAGACCCAGAACCCACTGCGCAGCTTCAAGCACAGAGGAAAGAAGTCCAGACCCTCAGCAGTGCCCTCCTGAAGCCAACTGAACCTGAGGGCGGGGCATGGCATAGAGCAGGCGTTGTTAGCCACTTTGGGGCTTGCTGAACTGTGTGGACATACTAAACTGTGGAGCAGGCTATGCTGGACTTCCCAGCAACTTAGCCTTGGCCATTGGTGGCTTGCTCCTTAACCACAGAATAAAGGTTCTAGCTACCCTGGTTGTACTTCGGCCTATAAGAAGGACTACCCCAAATCCAGGTGCCATTGCCATGTGTCTGCAGTACCGTACTGGGCCAGCAGGGGTCAGTGGTGCAGAGCCCATGTTATTTGCAGTTGGAAATTGTGCCAGACCTGGAGCCCCTCCTGCCTAGCTCCTTCCACTCACAGGCCTGCACGCTCATAGGCCTGCACCCTGGGAGACAAGCCCCCCTGACCACGAGTTCCCTCCCTATCCACGGGCACACTGTAGGCTCGGGCCAGGGCAACTGTATGCAGAGCCTGTGTGAGCATATCTATAGATGTGGTAGGGTAGCTACATATGTCTGCAGTCTCCTTTCTTAGGCCTGAGCAGACTGTCACCTACCCTGTCCTGGCCAAGCCTACCAACCTCTTGTCTGTTGGCTATGGGGTGTGGAGGAGTGGGGTCTTACTGGATCACCTGCTTATCAAACATTACAAGACCAGACTAAAGATACATGATGAGGAGGGCAGTGGGGGAAAGCAGGGAAGCACAGTTTCAGAGGAGGTCATGCTGTTGGGTCTTAGCAGAAGTCTGTCAAAGAGTGAGGAGTGGCAGAACCTGAGGTTGGGGACTCCTCCCTGCAAGCTCTTGGGGATGACTAAGAAGCCAGGGGATCATAATGACCTGGACCACCTGTGAGCTGATGTGTGCCAGGGTCATCTGTGGCTCTGGTGTCGTTGAAGGAAGAAGAGTTAACAGTGCTGGAGATGCACAGCAGCCGTTGGGAGCTGTTACTGGGAGGACCACTACTGTCAGGATCACCCTGGCCTGTTCAGTTGGTAGGAGACCAGCAGAGGGTGCTTTGGGTGCCTCTTCCCACCCTGCTTCAAGGGGTGCTGAGGCCTGGCCCTCAAGATGGCTTGCTCCGGATGTTGTGGGATACTGTTCTGAGGTAGTGCACAATCCGCCTCTCTACTTGGTCTGACGCTGTCATTTCAGGCCCACACTGCCAGGAGTTTGCCTCCCAGAGCTGACCAGTATGGAGAACGGATCAGCTTCCCCATGAATTTCCTTGGGGATGAGGTGGCTGTGCACAAAACCAGCCCTCGTGTACCACTGTGGTGGAGTAGCTAATGCTACTGGGATTTCACCACCACCTTGGCGATTGGTACCATGGGAGGTCTGGGACCTGCTCAGGCTGCTCTTGTGCTTGGTCTCTGACTAAAGCACTTTTCACTTTTTTTTTTTTAATATTTGTTATTTTTATTTAAGTTTATTTATTTACACTCATTCACTACACATCATTAGAGCATGCGAAAGGAGACTTTCCATCCAGAATACTTGTATATTGGCTCAATCAAGCACATCAACATATGTTACCATCAACAAATAAGTTTCCATTTCTTGTTTCCTGTATATTTTGCTTTTTTTCCTGTCCTTGATTCCCTGTCTCTCACCATCTGCCGTGTCCTACCCTCCTCCTACACTGTTTCTAGTATCCATGGTTGATTTCTGTGCCTTCCCCCCCCCATTTTATTGATTTGCCAAAGAACTTAATCTAAATATTTTCAATAGCAAGCTGGTAAATACATATCCATGAACCGAAGTCTGACTTTAGGCATAAACCTCAGTGAATAGAATGAACATATTATAAAGTAGCACCTAACTGGGGCTATATGGCTTATTGTAGCCATCCCAATAGGTATTTTTAATGCATTTTTTTTTTAATTTCAAGAAAAACAGTTTTCGTGGGCTTTTTTTTCCTCCTGAAACTTTTAAAAATTAATTTATATTCATCTCCTAAGCATCGTCACAGCATACAAAATATAGTTTCCGATCCAGTATCTACTGCATAGTGGCTTAATCATGCATGTTATTGTCAATAATTTTCCATTTCTAGTTTCAAATATATATATATATATATTTATTTATTTATTTATTTATTTATCCCTATGTCTGACCCTCTGCCCTTTCCCACCCTCTTCTCACACTATCTCTGGTGTCTACAATTGTCTTCCATTCCTTTTCCTCCCACATTTTATTGGTCACACAATTTCTTAAATAATCTAGCTACTTTTCAATAGCAAGTTCAGCTGGTAATTTCAAGAAAAGCAGTTTTGAACTGGTAAGGAAATTTGCTTAAAACTTAAAGCCTGGAAACAGGTTAGTATTCTGTTCAAGTGTTAGGGACATGAACCTATTGACAGCTCAAGACAGGACAAAAACTCTTAAAACCGGACAACAAAGCCTAGAAGAAAAGCAGCAATATTTTAGTCAAAAGTCACAGAATGTTGTTTCATCAGTTCAGTCTCATCTACTTTATCTTCTGTTGTGGTTCGGTCTTCCTGATTGAATTCTGGGATATAATACTCAACTCCAGACTTGTCCCTACGATTAAGTTGGCCATTTTCCTAGTTTTTGAACTCTTATTTCTGTGTGTCTGTATTTAATTTCCCTGATAATAATAGCACTCCCTTGAGAACTACTCGGAGATCTGGTCTGGTGCTGGCAAATTCTTTCAGGTTTTGTTCATCTGAGAATGTTCTTGTCTTTTCTTTCCACATGAAGGATAATCTTGCCAGGTACGGTATTCTTGGTTGAAATTGCTTTTCTCTTAACACTTTGAATATATTTTCTCATTCTTTCCTTTCTCATGTTGTTTCCAATGAGCGGTCTGCTGTTAGCCTGATGGATATCCTTTGTATGTAACCTGCTGTTTCTCTCTTGGCAATCTCTGTATCTTGTCTTTGTGGTTTTGGTCAATCTGGCTATAATGTGTCTTACAGAAGATCATCTTGGGTTGATTCTATTCGGGGTCCTTTATATTTCTTGGGACTGGATCTTTGAGTGCTTTTCTAGGTTTGGAAAGTTTTCTTGCAGGATTTCATGGAATAGATGATCAATGCCCTTATGAATCTCTTTGCCTTCCGAGATACCAATTATCTGGATGTTTGGATGTTTGATGGTATCTAGTATTTCTCATACATTATTCTCACTTGGGCAATTTTCTCAAAATGGTGGATTTTTCTAGGCCAGCAATTTTCTCTTCTACCTCTGAGATTCTATTTTCTGTATGATGTAGTCTGCTTTTAATACTTTCAAGGGAGATCTTGACTTACTGTATTACAGCCTTCATCTCGAACAGGTCCATTTGATTCTTTTGTAAAGTGTGTAATTCCTCTTAGATCTTGCAGTAATTTCCTCACCTCCTGGAACTCGTCACCTCCTTTCTCCTTTCTCCTTTTTCTTCTGCAGTTCGTTGTCTCTCTTCTCTTCAATCTCTGTTAGCTTCACCATTATGAATGTTCTAAATTCTTTATCAGACATTTCTATGATTTCCATTGAGCTGTGTGTGGATGAAGAGGAGCTATTCCTTTCTCTTGGAGGAGAGGAATTTTCTTGAGTTCCTGTATTTCATGTGGCCTTATGGTGATTTCTGGTCATCTGGTGGATGGTGTGTTTCTTCCCAGACTTGAAGTTCAATCCGAGCGTTCAGGAACATGCAGAAAGAGGTGATCCAGGATCTCTTTTCCGTTCCATTTTGATCCCTTTGTGCAGCAGATTCAGTAGATATTGAGGAATATGTTAACCCTAATAGTATTTGGATGTTTGATTCTACTTCCCTTAGCTCTGTCTACAAACACAGTGAATGGAGATTGAAGAGCAGAGGGATGAGATAAAAGAAAGAAAAGGAAACAGTAACAACAGCAGCAACAACAATCAAGAAACAAAAAAAAGAGAAGAAAAAATTAAAAAAAAACTAAAGTATTTTTGGGACCAGCAGTTAGCGTAATGACTATGTCACTGGACTCCCACGTAGTCGACCGCAGTTCAAGTCCCGGACCCAGTGGCTTAAACTCACGCCGGGCACGTGTGCGTGCGTGCCCAAGATCCTGAGGAGAATGGAGGAGAAGGGATTGCGGCGTGGCCCTCCCCACTGGGGGTTGATTTCTCGCTTTCTATCTCTCTGCCTCTGTCTGGCGAGCGCACACACCCTACAGCAAAAAAGTCTCTCCAAAAAATAAAAATATTTTTTTAAAAAAGCAAAAAGAAAAATTACCAAAAAATAAGAGACTGAGGTGGAGACAGAGATAGAAGGCTTGAAAGGCTTCCTACCACTCGAGTTTGTGGGCTGGAGACTGAATTATCCGTGGAAAACTTCATTTCTCTTATTTCTCTGAAATCACTAGTTCTCAGGAGCCATGAAGGTGTCTTCTGTTATTTTTAATTTGGCCAGAGAGAGAGAGAAAGAAAAAGTGAAAACAAGCCTCCAGGTCTGGGATTCAAACCATGGCCAGCCATGTGGGAGTCCAGCATCTTAACTACCACACTACTTGCTGGCCCCTGAACCCTTCACTTCTCACAGCATATGCAAGCAAGGACTGGGCAGGCCTCAGTCAAGGCGTGCACGTGATGGGTGCATGGCCAGGGCTGGGTGGTGCTGGTAGCCATGTGGGCCTGAGAGGTTTGGAGCTGGGTGTGCTGCTGTTTCAAAGCACAGGACTTCACTAAGCAGCAGAAAAACTTGGATGGTGTCCAGGTCAGTGACGTCCTAGGCTGATGCAGTCTGGCCCACACCCAGGCAGATAGGAGTGTGGGGATATCTGGGTTGTGTGTTAGGGTCTCAAGTCAAGTGGACAAAGCTCATTCTGTGCATGCAGGAGCTTTGTGGGGACCTGGGGCCAGGCCTTTGTTGAACTTGACCTCACCCATGCTGCAGTCATCTCCAGCCCGAGTTCATACTGTCTGTGCTGCCAGCACAGGGCTCACCAGGTACAAGGGCTGGAATGGGCAGGAGGGAGGCAGAGCATCACCCTCACATGAGGGTAGACAGTAAACTAGTGCTCAGATGGCCACGGAGCTGGAATGTTTTGGAGGCTTTCCAGGGAGAAGGGTGTGTGGGCTACCTTGAGGAAGGGAAGTTTATGCTGGGAAGGAAGAAAATCGTCTTGGCAGAGACAACAGCATGCACAAGTTCCCTGGAATGAGAGGGAGCTCAGCACATTTGAGGGTGAAAAGGAGACCAGAGTGGTTGTCACCAAG